TTTTGGCACCATGAAAGCCACCCATCCAGTGACAGAGAGTTTCCAGCTTAGTCCAAGCTTGATTTCTCCCTCTCCCATGTTCACATTATACAGTGTTTTCAGCCACAGGGTTTTCCTGTCTACCTCCAGTGTACAACCAACATTATTGGCAGTGGTCTTTATTGTTTGGGGACCTCTAGTGTCCCTCAGGTTTTTGTTTTGTTTCTTTTTAAGGGTCTTGTGTAGCCCTAATTGGCCTGGAACTTGCTATATCAATCAGGCTGGTCTCAAACTTACAGAGATCTGCTTTCCTCTGCCTCCCAAGTGCTGGGAGTATTACACCCAGCTCGTTATATCTTTATGTTGTTGTTGCAGTTAAAAATCACCTGAAGGCCCATCCACAAGAAATTGACAACTGTCCACTACTAGACAAGCCAAAGATGTATGATATACTCACTGGTACAAAGATGTATGATATACTCACTGGTACAAAGATGTATGATGTACTTGCTCACTGGTACAAGTCATAGCTGTTTCCTTGTTGTATTTTGAGTTTGAGGACTTGACTGTCCTGTCACTGGGGTGATCCTATAGGTGATTTAGGTAGCTTTCATTGGATAACATTCAGAATGCCCATCCCCCAGATAATTCCAGAATATGAGAATCAGACTGGCATAGTGGGAAGCATAAGAACTGAACCAGTCTAGGCTTGAGCCTCCACTTTCTTGTATCCGTTGACTTTGTGAAAGGTTCTTAATGGCCGATTGTGACTGGTTTCATCACTGTGATACTTGGCTCGTGGTAGTCTCTCCCCGTGAAGGTAACTTGGTACGCTTAGAGCAGTGACTGATGTTCAGAGAGCAACCGAGAAATAGCTGCCTTCTGGTTTGGGTCAATGTGCTGGGTGAAGTATTGTCAGTTCATGGCAGAGGAAGTGGTCAGGTTTCAGACTAATGATACATATATGAGATTTATAGAGATTGCTTGGGTGCTTGCATAGATGCAGCTTCTGAAATTCTGTAGAAATAGTCCACTTCTCTATCTTCAAGAAATGCTGAGGGCAGTCAGGGTCATGCCAGGATGCCACTTCTGAAGAAGTCAGGTTTTCCTATTGGATGTTGACTGTCTCTTCACATTGCTAGACTCACAGGAGCCCTTCCAGCAGCTGCCACAAGGGCAGAAGTGACGTCAGCCTGTTTTCACAGCATTCTAGGTCTGCTCAGCCTTGGTAACCCATGGGATCAGATTTGGGCTTCCTGCTTGGCCTCTACTGTGGCAGGTCTCAGGAAGTGGGTGGGCCTTAACACAGTAGTAGGTAGGCGCTTGGCATTGCCTACAGCCTTCAGGGAGTGTCTGAAGATCCCCAGGTGGATGCAGTAGAACTCTGCATTTGTTTTGGTAGGATTTGGCTTTTGGTTTTGTTTTTGAATATTTGTTTTATTTAGTAAGGTTTTTGAGACTGGGTTTCACTAGCCCAGGTTGGCCTCAACTCACAATTCTGCCTAATTCAGGGTGCTGGGATCACAGGCATGTAATACCACACCCAGCTCTGTGTGTTTTCAAGTCATAATTGCATATGAAAGAGCAGAGTCATTAGGGGCATGGCATCTTCTAGAAAAAGCAGCTCTATAAGTGTGCAAGCTCAAAGACAGTTAAATCATTTCAACTAATGAGGGTTTTAAAACAACTTTCTGAGCCCTAAAATGAGAACTCTCAATTTTTTTCTTTTTTCCAAGACAGGATCTCTGTAGCTCAAGCTGGCCTCAAAGTTTCAGCTATCCTGCCTCTGCCTTCCAGGTGCCAGGATTACAGTGAGATAACCACACCTGGCCTGGGAAGTTTATTCTTTGAGTGGCCGTGTTGCAAGGTAATTCTTATACTGTCCCAGAATGATAATCACAGTTTTGTAGGACTTCATGATTAAAAACACATCAATATATTTAAGTATCACAGATCTGTGAAATAAATACCCTTACTTATAAAGCACCTGAGACTTAGGTAAGTATAGGTAGCCATTGCTCAGGGTCCCATAGAGAAAGATCAAGGAGGCAGTACTTCATTCCAGGTCTCTTTATGTCATGTTATTATCCAGAGTTCTGCTTGTTGCATTAGAAAAGTAGGCTCATAAAAACATGTTATGGCTATGAAGCTAGAAAGCAGTCCTTAGTATTTAAACTCAATGAGTTTGCTGGGCATGGTGGCGCATGCCTTCAATCCCAGCACTTGGGAGGCAGAGGCAAGTGGATCTCCGTGAGTTCAAGGCCAGCCTCATCTACATAGGACATTCCAGGCCAGCTGGGGCTACAGGGAGACCCTGTCTCAAAAAGACCAAAAAAAAAAAAAGTATCAGTCAGAGCACATCATAGGAAGTGAACCGGAGTCTGAAGAGGCAGTTTGGGTGGCTGTATTAAGTTAGTATAGAGTTTATGAAGTCCATAAAGTGTGGGATAGTCAATATTTACTAAGTATTGACTGCAAAGAAGGTTTTCTAATTTCAAGTTAGTCCTAACTCAAAAGTGCTCACGAGGCCCATTGCACCACCTCATTGACCAAGTGCCTGCCTTTCTCCTTCAGTGCTAGGGCTTGAGCCCAGGCCCTTCAGCATGCTAGGAGGAACTGCGCTACTTCAGAGCTAAATCTGCATGCTGATGTACTAGTGTTGAATTATGGCCAGGTAAAGAAAGTGCCCGCTCTCAAGATGACAGATGGCTGAGAGAGTGCAGAGGTGGTTTCAGGTGGAGCCCGGAGCAAGGATGGAAGGGGCTGAGAAAAAGGCTCCATGAGGTGAAAATAGCTCTGTAACATGGGTACATGTTTGAAGAGCAGAGGGGCTTGGGTTGAACCAGTGCAAGTGAGTCTTTGTATGAAGATGGTAGTGAGTTGGCCCAAGTATATTAATAGTAATGTATGTGTTTTTTTTTTTTAAAAAAGAGACAGGATGGCACAACGATTGGCAGATGGTGACTAGACACTGGGGGAAATGGTATGAAGAAGCTGCCTAGGGTTCTGGAAAAGCCTGTACCTTTAACAAATTACATTTGTTTCTTTTGTATGTATGTATATACCGTGCATGTGTGTGCCATGCTGTGCAGGTGGAGGTCAGAGGAGAACTTGTGGGAGCTGGTTCTCTCTACCATAAGAGTCCTAGAGATCAAACTCAGATCATCAGGCCTGGTGGCAAGTGCCTTTACCCACTTAGCCATCTTCCCTGCCCAAACTTGTGTCATGATCTAGATGCCAGTTGTGCAGGTGGCTTTTCACAGGAAGGTAGCATGAAGCACGCTCGCTGGCTTCAGTCGTAGAGGATGGCTTCAGTTTTGGTTAAAAAGATTAAAAGTACGCCAGGCATGGTGGCACATGCCTTTAATCCCAGCACTTGGAGGCAGAGGTAGGTGAATCTCTGTGAGTTTGACATCAGCCTGGGCTATGTAGTGAGTTCCAGGACAGCTGGAGCTACAGGGAGACTCTGTCTCAAGACAAAAACAAAAACAAACGAAAGAATACTTACAGGTTAGTGTTATTTTAGGCATCAGAACTGTAGGGAAATGGTTCACAGTCCTGTGTGGTGGCATCATTTGGGGGGTGAGCTTCTACAACATTCACGTTCTGATTTAATGGAGTAGTGGAGCCAATGTTCTAAAAATCAGGCAGGTTCTCCTTAGAAAGTTCTCAGGAGGTTCAGGTGTGTAGCATGGAGCCGCATTAATGAGGAAGGGTTCTTTGTGGACAGGCTGGCTGTGCAAAGTACCGCTTCAGAGCTTTCTCGCTCTGATTTGCCCGTGAGGTCCACTGTGGTTAGGAGGAGGGAAACGGTGCCAGCACTGGTCCTGGGAATAGCCATTCTGCTGTGGAGGACTTAACTGAAGGGCTGGAGCATTAGAAGGAGAAATTCCTACTACAGAAGATCCCGATTGACTTTCAGTCTTTCATGGGTTTTCTTAACCTGTTTTCAGGCTTTCTTAACCTGTTTTTGTGCTTTTGGTACCCAGTCTGGTGAGCTGTGGACCCCTATGACATTAATGTTTTGGAATGGATAAAATAAAATGCATACCATTACAAATGATGGAAGTTATATTGAAGTATAGCAATCAAAATTACAAAATGTACATAATATGCTTTTTATTAATAACATCCAGTGGAATATAGTAATGTCCATAATTTTAAGGATGTGATAGTGGAAATGATAGTTTGAGATAGCCCCCCCCCAAAAAAAAACCAACAAAACAAAACTGTAGGAGCTGGGGTTGTAGCTCTGTTGGTAGGGTGCTTGTCTGGCATGTACAAAGTTCTGGGTTCAGTTCCCATCATTCAGGAGGTGGAGGCAGGAGGACCAGAAGTGCAAGGCCATCCTCAGCTACATACTGAATTCAAGGCCAGCTTGGTTTACATGAGGCTATCTCAAAAAAGACCACCATGTACATACACATACACCAAAAACAACCCCTCCCCAAAATCAGTAAACTATAATGTAGTAGGAAGCAACTGGTTTGTATTGGAGATAAAGTCCTGGTTACTGAATGTTGTTATGGTTTGTTGTCATCATTTACAGAAAATATTGCTAAAATTCAATTTAGGTTTGAGAATATATATATATACATATATGTGTGTGTGTATGTATGTATGTATGTATGTATGTATGTATTCTTGTGCAGACTCAAGGATACTTCAAAATCCTATATGCTGAAGCTAAGGATATTAATATGTTAGTCTTCTTTCTATAGTTATAAAATAGTAAAGATTATGGCTTTTGGTAATAGAATTTACCTAGTTATATATTTTCTAAACTCCTCTTTATTATCACATTATGTAAAGTACTGGGTTTCATTGTGATGTCTTCATACATGGATGTAACTACTTTGATTATACTCAGGCCCTTCACTACGCTCTCCAGCTCCTCTTCTGACTAAAACTCAGGGTGGAATAGTCTTTCATTTGGCATTGAGTGTAGTACAGATTTTGAGCAGAGCATCAGCTAAATAGCCCTTCCAACATGAGCTAACAAGTGTGGTTTGTTGTTACAGGAGTACAAGCACAAGTTAGCCAGAGTCTCCCTGGTGCGCAAAGAACTCAGGTCCCGGATCCAGAGCCTGCCAGATTTATCTCGACTGCCCAATGTCACTGGCAGCCACATGCACCTGCCCTTTGCTGGGGACATCTACAGTGAAGATTGATGACCAATCTCTTCCTGAGCCAAGGACTTTGTCAAGAGATGGAGACAGGTTAGGTGGCTAGTCTTGTAGTGTATTTTTGTACATTGTTGAGAGAGTGAAACTAACACAAGAAATGACACGTAATTTATAAAATTGTTTAAAATGTTGGTTTGTTTACTATTTTATTAGTGAGTTAACATGACAGTTGAAACAAAGTGATGATCTCTGTGTTCATGAGCTCACAAATAGTGATTATTTTCAAAAGATCTTTTTGTAAGTTCTTTTGATCCAAGGCCTTGTGAGAAATTCCGTGTGTCTGTTTCTTCATGTATTTTGAAGTTGTGTTGTTTTTCCAGCATCTAATCATTGTGTTTTACCTAATCCCTGAGTGGGAAGCACTGATCAGGCGGTGAGGCCTGACTGTGCTGTAGTGAGGGCTTGAGTGTGGAAAGGGCCGAATGTCCCACTTGATCGCCTCTTCCCAACCCAGAAGACACTGGCTCTGCGCCTCCTCATGCCTTTGAGTTTTTTTTTTTTTAATTCCCTAGAGGTCAGTAACTTAACACTATGTATGGATGACACGTGGCTGGTCTCATCAAAGCCTACTGAACTTTTCCCCAGTAGTGTTATACTAGTTCCATTCCAAACACTAATGTAGAATAAAAAGACTATTAAATAGAGACTCCCTTAACTACAGTGATTAGAACTGAGTACATTTAATGCTTTGGAAATGTAAATTCTGATACTCTTCTTCTTCTTTTTGGTCTTTTTGAGACAGGGTCTTTCCCTGTAGCCCCAGCTGTCCTGGAACTCGCTATGTAGATCAGGCTGGCCTCAGTCTTTTAGAGATCCTTCTGCCTCTGCCTTCCAAGGGTTGGAATTAAAGGCATGTACTACCATGCTTGGGTAAATTCTGACGTTGTATCAAGAGAACACCTCTGGTTCTGCATGGATTTCTTTCTGTCAGATGAGTCTTCTTTTAGCATAATTGATCTCTTGAATACAAATTCCAGCTACAGGGATTAAAGGAAATATAAACAGACAAGCTTGTTCCCTCATCTACGTAGCTTAAGCAGCAGTGCTCTCAGCTTGAACAGCTCAAGAACACAATACTCCTTAATGTTCAGTAAAGTAGCCTGGAACATTTCTAATATTCCCTTAGGATCTTTGAATGACTGTGTATTTGGGAATTAAGCAGCACTATACTACAGGGTAGTTTGGTAAACTTTATATTTGTATGTTTACAGATGTAAATACAAAACAATACCTTCACTCTTGTTTTGAACCCTGTGTATTAGAGCAGGTACACACCCTCCAGCTTTCTTTTCAAGTTGGGTTGTGGGTTTGTAGTTGATGATGACTGAGGGTAAACATTTTTCTCCTTATTGCTTTACATATTAGAATTTCTCATTGTAATCAGATTCAAATTAGATAGATAGTAGAGCACCTTTTAGAGCCCACGGGCCACTTCATTTCGCTACTCTGAATGGCGTCACTGTTTCTTTCTCAGTGTTAGACTGCAGCTGGCATGAGCTTACATGTGAAGGACATGGCAAGTGATTATCTTCAATAGCCAGTGTAGTTCTGGAAGCAGCTTCTAACAGTTTGACCTCTCTCTAGAACAGACATGTACAGAGTCGGCCCATCTGCAGCTCCTGTCTTTATGCTTTCTGGGAGTTTGAACACATTTTCTCACAGAATCTAAAGTAGTTCCCTGTACACACTACCACTGATGTTCACTTGGGAACCTGGTCCACTTGTGCACGAGTGTACTTAGCTTATAACACAGTCGGTAAGATACTCACTGAATGCCCTGAGCAGCATCTGTAGCATCACGATAAGGAAATTGTGTGACAGCCAGACCATGTGTTGGGGTGTCTGCTAGTACTGTGTCTCTCTGTCCCTAGGTTTAGGAAACAGAAGAATAGATTCAGCAAAGGAGGTAGTGACAAAAGCATATTACATACCCTGGCTATACCCGTTATGAAAGTATGCCATGTGAGTTAGTTTTTGTTGTCAATGTGAAAGGAAAGCCTTGTGTGTTGTTTTCAGTATCATGACCTTATTTATGATCTGACCCTGGTGATTTATCTAGCCAAAATAGATATTTTTTTCCATTTAAAACTAATTTATAAACTGTGCACTCTTGGGAAGATATAAAATCTTTTAGAAGTTTGCTGAAATATTTTCATCAAGACAGACTTCTGACTTAGATACTGTTTTAATGCCAGTATCTGATCTAAATATTTATGATAAAAATGTATTATTTTTTTAAAAGAGCTTGATGAGATTTGTAAGTGCTAGTACCCAAGAACTTTAATCCCACCACTTGGCCAACTCTCCACAAGCCTCAGTTGTTGGTTAGCGTGCTAACTGAATACAAACTAGTAATCTGTTCTCAAAGTCATGTTTTTAGCCTTAGAGTTAATATGGTAAGCCTCAGTAGGGAACTGTCTTCCTTCCTAAAAGGAAGACTAAGTTTTCTCAAGAAATGGGCTTAGGTGAGGGGTATAAAATATCAAATTCTAAATCATGCACATCTTCTCCACTGTGTGCCTGAGGCAAATCATGCATGTCAGTGCAGGCTGGCCTGGAGGGAATCATGTCACATTTGCAGCAGGTACTGTGCTGTGAATGGATACCATTGCTCTTTTCTCCACAAACAATACAGAGAGCTGTCTGGAGTGACAATGTGAACAGATTCCCTGGTGCTCCCTCTGCTCCTCCACCACTACAGTAAGAGAACTCAGGGGGAACCAGGAGTCTGACAGTGAGTTGTGCACTACGGCCAGCTTTCCTTTGAGGAAACCGGTTCCATGTGCAGCTGTTATGATGTCTCCTTCACATGCATTATGAATCACGGTTTTTCTATAAGAAATACTTTAGAATCAACAGTAGCTGGATGATCCAGTCATGGTGATTTGCAAAGTTAAAAGAATGTATGATGAGTCGTCAGTTGTCACTGTCGATGGACAGCTTTATGGTAGTTCAAGAACTGGCTCTGAGAACTTTTAGAGAAGAAAAGGGTAAAAGTACAAATTAATTAATTGGGAAAGTTAGGTCTTTCTGAATTTCCCACTCTAAAATCTGGTATTACATGAAGTAGCATAAAGCTACTAAATTGCTTTGTTTGCAGTTAAGAATGAGTCCCTGAAGACGGCGTCTTTTCTCACACTTGTTACACTGTAGCAAAGCTTTGAAAAGTGTAAACCAGACCTTGTCCATCTAGATGAGACAGGAAGCATGGTGGTACCTAGTGAGTTCATTTATACAGAGCATTTGTCGCCAACCCTAATTCCAGCCATCCTCACAGCCTGTTCCGAGGTGGCATTAGCACATGGGAAGAGGAACTCTCCCGATCTGTTTTCCCTTTTCTTGGCTGTATCTGATGACAGTATAAGATCTTCTTAATAAAGTTTTATGTTCTTTTTGAAGATTCTTTGTGCATGTTATTTTTATCACTCTGATTTGTTGGTAGTCTGAGGGGAGGGTGTTGGCAGAGCAACGCAAGTATTTGGTGAAATAATGGCAGAGAAACTACTGAAGGAGATGACTGCTTGGCTAGTGGATCCCAAGCTTGAGGAAGCTCATCATCTTCTGGAACCTTCATTAAGCTGCTGCTGGCCGAGCACCACCTGCCAAGATTTGGTTCGGTCATTCTGTGATGGTTTACTTTTCTAACAACTTGATGCTGATGCTACTGTGCTTACAGACTACATGTTGACAACCACTGCTCTAGACTACCTCTGAAGGCCATGGCTTGCTTCATGTCTAAAATGTTTAAGCAGGGGCTAGGGAGATGACTCAGTGGGTAAGAGAGCTAGCTGTATTAGCAGAAGGACCTGAGTGTGAATCCCCAGCACCCACATAAAAAGCTGGTCATGGTTCCACATGTCTGTAACTTTGATATTAGGTGGAGACAGGCAGATCCCATGAGTTCACTGACCAGCTAGGCCAGCCAGAATGGTGCGCTTCAGGTTCAGTGAGAGATCCTGTCTCAAGGCAGTAAGGCAGAGAGTAATAGAGGACACAGTGTCCTCCTGAGGCTGCCAGGTGGACACATGTACCTGCACTTGCATGTACACACACACATACCCACCTTAAAAAAAGCACTCATATAGGTAATGATAAAGTACAGGTTTTCCAGTTCATTATGTAGTTGGTTCATTCTGGGCAGAGAATAGACATGTTACATGCCTAGCAATGTCTGTTGCTTTCAGATGCACAGATTCTCTTGGTACCTGAAAGTTCTTGGGAGTATAGACAGTCTTGGGACACCTTGAATTAATTTTTGTGGTAATAGGAATTGAAATCAGAGCCTTCTGCATGCCAAGTGTATACTCTACCACTAATCCCCATGTTTTGGATATAAAGTAAAATTGGGAACAATTATAAATCTGTGGGAATCTTTAGAACAGTGTTTGCTAGAGTTCTTTGATAAGATAATTGAGGCTGGGAATGAGCTTCATTTGCAGAGTGCTTGGCTGAAATGCACAGGCCCTGGGTTAGATCCACAGCATCCCCCCGACACACACACACCCTCAGTTGAGGCCTACTGAAAGAAGGACGTGTTATCTAGTGGGCTGGAGTTTTCTTCGTCTTGTAGTCTAGAGAGTTAGAAAGGTTTGGAGATACAGTCCTCTGGCTAGTGCCCCATGTTCCTCTGTTCCTGGATGGTATCTGGTCACTTCCTCTGAATTTGTGCGCTTCCTATTCCCATGGTTCCCTGAGAGTAAGCTTTATACACTTGAACATATCCACAGATTGCTTTTCAGAATCCCGTGCCCGCGGCTGCAAAGAAGCATGCACGGGGACCCATGGGACTGCACTCCCCCTGCCCCTCCCAGTTCTTGTTCCCTCACATTCACACTTCCCTTATTTAATATCCAGTTTCAGCTTAGTGACCAGAGTTCTCTTGTACTCTTTCTTTTTTTGTTTTTTTGTTTTTGTTTGTTTTTGTTGTTGTTGTTTGATCGGCTTCCCCAAAGAACACAAGTTGGCCTGGAGTTGGGGCTTTTCCTGACCTCAGCCTCCCGAGTCCTGATACTGTTTTAGGTTGTCTGACCGATTGCACTTCTTCACCTCTTTCTCATTATTCCGTCTTCTCCCTCCCTCAATTTTTATTGTCCCGCTCCTGTTTGCTTGTCCCTGTTTTCTTTGTTCTGATTGCTCGGCTTATTTCCTTTCCATCCCTACCCTTAATAATTTCTTAGTACACATGATACTATCCTTGTTTCTTTAACGCTCCCCCTAAAGTTCTCAAAGTCAAAGAAGCAATTATTTTTTTTTTGTTGTTGTTTCTGATTTTTCAGAGGGTTTCATAGCCCAGGATTGCCTGAAAATTGCTGTGTAGCCAAGGATCACCTTGAACTCTACCACCCCAAGTGCTAAGATTACAGGCATGTACTATCATGCCTGGCATGGACAATTGTTTTGAATTGGCTTTAACTCTATTTTCTAGAAGACACATCCATTGCAGTTGCTGCTGCATCAGCATTCTCTCAGAATAGAGCTGGAGATTGAGCTCACTGCCTTGAGCATGTGGGCTGAGGATGGAGCTGCCAAGCCACACCAAAGGAACAAGCACCTCAACCCTGCTGCAACCTGGTCCCATTAGGACACTACAGATACTTCCATTGAAGTGATTAAAAAACAAACCAGCTGGGCGTGGTGATGAACACCTTTAATCCCAGCACTTGGGAGGCAGAGGCAGGCCAATCTCTGTGGGTTCAAGGCCAGCCTGGTCTACATAGTGAGTTCCAGGACAGCTGGGGCTACAGGGAGACCCTGTCTCAAAAAGACCAAAAAAAAAAAAACCCCCCAAACCCAAATTCAACCAATTATCTAATCCCAGATGTACAGATCCCATCAAAGAAACACAAGAAACATGAAAACTCAAATAGGACTCGCCCCAAAATTACCCATCATAGCGATGTACTTGAGAATCAGGTGAAATCCCATACAAAGAATTCAAAACAATGGTCATAAAAATATTTAATGAAACTAAAGAGGACACGCATTCCTGAATGAATTCAAAGAACACAAATAGTTGGAGGAAGAAAGTCAATACAGGGTATGAAGGAGGACTTCCATAGAGAGAATACTGAAAAGGGAATTTGAAGTTAAGTTAAAAACCTGTGGAAAGTCTTGCCAATAGAATGGATCAAGTGGGAGATAGACTATCAGGTGAAAAAAAAAAAGATGGGTTAGGAGTCCACAGTGACAAGGACAGAATAATCAGAAACCATGACCAGAACTGACATCTGTGAGACACCATTGGCATATCAGACCCTAAAATCATTGGCATGGAAGAGAACTTCAAGCTAAGGCATAGAAAATATATTCAAAGCTGGGCATGGTGGTGCATGCCTTTAATCCCAGCACTCTGGAGGCAGAGGCAGGCGGATCTCTGTGAGTTCAAGGCCAGCCTGGTCTACAAAGTGAGTTCCAGGACAGCTGGGGCTACAGGGAGACCCTGTCTCAAAAAGACCAAAAAAAAAAAAAAAAAAAAAAAAAAGAAATATATTCAATAAGGAAATCATAGAAAAGTCCCCAAATCTAGGCAAAGAGATAGGCATCCAGATCCAGGAGGCATTTAGAACTAGACAAGGTCAGACAGGAACCTTCCCATGTCATTATTACACCTAAAACACTAAGCATCAGAACAAAGAACGCTGCAAGAGGGGAATGCGGAGCCTCACATGAAGGCAGGCTTCAGTGGACCAGCAGACACCACAGAAGCCAGAGCCAGGGCATGGGGCATTATTTCAAATTTTGAAAGATGGGGCTGGGGAGATGGCTCAGCAGTTAGGGGCACTGGCTGCTCTTGCAGAGAATCTGGGTTTGATTCTCAGCATCCACATGACGGCTAGGAACCATCCTTAACTCCAGTTCCAGGGGAATCCAAAGCCCTCTTCTGGCATCTGTAGCATTGCACAACACTGGTGCACTCACATACATGCAGGCAATACACTCATACACAAAATAAATTTTAAAAAATTCCTGGAGACACCAACTGCCAACCCAGATTGCTACATCCAGCAGAGGTTTCAGTTAACAACTGAAGGACAAAGAGGCCTTTACAGGCTAAACACAAAGTAGCCTATGGCACACACCTTAAATCCCAGCACTCAAGACAGCTGTGTCCATGAGGTGGGGGGGGGGTCATAGAACAGTAAACCGGTAAATAAAGATTAGCAAAGTACTGAACGTTACAGAAACAGCCAAATGAGAATTAATACAGCTATCTCTCAAACAGCAGAGCCCATCTGTTTGCTGCCTATAATATGCACTTCACTGGTAATGAAAACACAGGCTGAGGGAGAAAGGATGAAAAACATATTCCAGGCAAATGAAACTAGAAAGCAAGCAGGTATAGCAATAGTAATGTCTGAAAGAATAGATGAAAATGGCCATATCAATTCAGGGAATAGTCCATCAAGCAGATATTGTAATTCTCAACATATGCACCAAACATCAAAAAACTTCAAAAAAAAAAAACTGACAAAAACTTCAGTGTTAAATGACATAGAGCGAATGCACTTACTAGACAGCCACAGACCATTCCATCAAATAGTACAGGATACATGTCTCAGCAGGCGAGATGGCCCCTAGGTAAAGGCACTTGGAGTGTGAACCTGAATTTGATCCCTGGAACTCACGTAAAGTGGAAGGAGAGATGCAACAAAGTTGGCCTCTGACCTACTGCGTATGAACCATTGCACACACTCCCCCACCCCATGTACACATACAATAATTAAAAATACAAAAGAGGGGCTAGAAATATGGCTCAGTGTTTAAGAGTGAGTACTGATGCTCCAGAGGACCAAAGTCTGGTTCCCAGGACTCACGTCCTGTGGTTCACACTGTAACTCTAGCTCCAGGGGATCAGTGCTCTCTCTAGTCTCTGGGCACCTGAACACATGTGGTACACACACACACACACACACACACACACACACAAAACATAAGTTAGGAACAGGAGGAAAATATCTCAACATAATACAACAAACTTATGGCCAACATTATTCTAAACAGGGAAAACTTCAAAAGTATTTCCACTAAAATCAGGAATGACACAAAGGTCATTTTTGTCTCCGCTCATTGAGTGTAATCTCTGAAGTCTTAGCTAGAGCAATAAGATAAGAGAAAATCAAATTAACCCTATTTGCAGACAATATGATTCTGTACATAGAGACCATAAAGACTGTACCAGAAGCCTCTTAGTGATAAACAGTCTCAATAAAGTAGCAGGATATAAACTCAATGTTTAAAAACCAGTCATTTCTCTATATATCAATACTGAGTGTGCTGAGAAGAAATTGGGAAAATAATCCTATTCATGATAGCTTTAAAAAAAAAAAAAATGAACCCGGGGGCTGCAGAGATAGGTCAGCGGTTAAGAGCACTGGCTGCTTTTGCAGAGGACTGGGGT